TTTCACTTCTGGGGGGGGGGCGGGGGGCGGGACGGATGTGTTTACCTCTGGCGATTCACAGACCCTAGCACTGAAATCACAAATTGGTTTATTTATCCTAATAGATGGAATTTTAGCTGAAATACTTATAGCACGTCTGATGAGCACATAAAGGATAAAGAAATTTTATGAGCTTTTGTTTTGTGTAAAGCCTGGAAGCACAAAGCCTTTTTAGGTAACCTGATCTTAATGATCTGCACCTTTTGTATATATTTTTAACTTGACGACGGAACTGCTAAAGACTGCCACTCTTGGTAATACAAAGTTTTCAATTCTTTAAAGATTCCGGGGCGTAGGTAATCAATAAAGGGATGCAAGAAATTTGTTTCAATCAATTAAAACCAACGAGTGCGTAGGCGATGATAAATTATTCACTGGAGCACAAATATAGCACGGCCAACGTTTGAAGGTCCCTGGGAAAAGTAGCAAGTAGTTCAAAAAGTTACACAATGATGGGATAAGTGAACGCAATTGGGAGTTTTCTCAATCATTCCGGTTAACATTCTTACTAGAAATTGCAAAGATAAGTTGCGTAACTAGTCAGGTACGGATTACTGGCTGATTGAACGAGATGATTTCTGGCTGTGTTGCATAAAAGACTCAAATAAAAGTGGTGATATTCGTAGGAGTTTATCAATCACACCCACAGAGGAATGCCATTATCAACAAGAAATCGTAATTTATCAGCGGTCAATATGCCATATTATTACCATTTGAATTTATTCTGAAGCATTTAAACGAAAATACAGGCATTCGGGTGGACTGGATCCGTAAAATTTTGGGTCGAGCACAAGTTGTCTTTTCATGACAGGATGTTAATCGCGTATGCTTCACTGCTGAATTTTTGACAACCTAAACAAATGCTTTCATAAATATCAGATCAGCACATTCAAATACACCAGTTGTTGGCTATCAAGTCAAGTTGTTTGTAACCATCATGGTATGCATTCAGTCTGCGTGAACGGCTGTGTACGGCCTTCTTTGACAGATTATCAGCTTACAACAATGGAGACAATATTTTGACCGAATAACAAGCAACGATGGTGATGGCCGAGTGGCAACGTCACCAAATTATCGCCTCGAAGGACGTGCATTCAAATCCGACCGTGACTGTCTGACATCTCATTCTATGTTGTATGGCAGCCGTTTGATTAGTCCCTTCCCACTGCATGAAANCTGCATCATTATTCATTCAACCGAAGGAGGTAAACTGAAAAAGAAAAGAATCGACACTGTTGAGGTCTTTGGGACAAAAAAATAAAGAATAATCGTTATCAGAAAAAAGACTGAGAGATACCGATAGAAAACGCTACTCTGAATGAACAGCGCTCTGGTTGTCATTATTCTGTATTTTAGTTTTATTTACCTATAATTCTGCTAGTTACTGAGAAAAATGGCGCGTAAGTTTTATGTGATCTGACTACAGGGTGCCGTAAGTGTATAACCCGCTAATTTCAGATTGCTTTTACTACCTGACAATATGCTGTGGACCTTCTTGACAATATAGGTAGATTCTGCAAGATGACAGATTTAGTATGGTATTAAAAAATTGAGTCAAGATAGTAACTGTCAAGAGTGCATCAAAAAAGGTCCTAGTTGATCTTTCACCTATTGAATTTTACCCCCTGCAGCGAGGTTTGCAATTCAACCAGAAGTTGTGTTGTTGAGTGCGCATTACGGAGGTTGTTGACTATAGTCAAACAGCTGTGACACAATGTTTGGCTCATACTATTCGGAGTCATATTTTACTCCAATTAGAATTTATTATTTCAATTATTTTAATGAATTATTTTGTTCAAGAATTATCACCAAAATTGTTTTACAGTAATTTGATGTTCAGTACTAGGGCTGTCAGTGAAGTTGTTACTTGTATTATGATCAAGGAGTTTATTTAAAATTTGGCGCTCCGTCGAGATTCTGTAATGTGATGTTCGTTCATAGTGACTTAATCAATTCTGATGAACCAGTGGCGATGATGATGATGCATTAATGTATCAAGTAATCGTCAGTTCGTCCTCCAAATCACGTTCAATTTTCGAAACCGTTTCAGCGCTTTTATACGAGACTAGCGCGAACATAGTCACAGTAGCGTAAATCACACAATGCATGTTAATCTCCAAAACTAACCACTCGGGTGTGTCGATGGTGCTGGCCAACTACAGTTTATTGAGGTTGGATGCATTCGCTTCATGTTTATTCGTGGCGATTGGGGTCTATGAAGATATGTTCTTGTCTGCGCATAAATATGTCCCGAAATAGAATAAACATGCGCATAAAAGCTCTCGCAGTGGTCGAGTTTGGTTGCGACTACACTGAAAACTGATCAAAATATGTCAAAGTTTTTACTGTTTCTAATATCAATCAACCTAGGATTTATTCAAAGTCAGATCGTCTTGTCTGAACCATCAGGCAATGCTACTTACACGTATGCCCTGCAAAAAATGAAAAACAATCAATGTTTGTACTTAATACTGGACGATAAGAAAATCCCTATCATTAGCTGGGCTTGCTCTTTTGATAAACGGTTGCTTTCTCGGTAAGTTCCGTCGAACGTTTTGCATACAGTTTCTGCTATGAGTTGGAATTCTGTATTCGAGCCTATTGGGGTCAGCTGTTGACCAAATCACGATCCAGAACGGCTCTTCTTCGGAAAATGAATGCCCATCGAGGTCTCTATTCTCGTGCAAAGGAGGACGACAAGTCACGTGAAGTGTGAGTCCATCCACGGTCCAAGTTGGACAAGTTGAGGCCAAAAGATGCCACAGAAAAAATAATACCCATTTATCGTTTTTGTTGGATCAAACTGTAGGGAAATTTTAAGCAATGTGTTGGTTAGTACACTTAACATATACAACACATGGGAGTTATTTGAGATAATATAAGGAAAGAGAAAATACAATCTATTGAGTAAAATTACCTTGATTTGAACTCATAAAATTGTACCTCGTTTGCGAAATTAATCATGAGATAATTCATGTGGATGAGGTTTTTAATTATCTCTAAATAAACTGGTTTGAAATGTTGAGATGCTTACATGTAACCTGTGTATAGTCAAATGAGTACTGAATTCCAAGGGCGAGACTTAGAGTAGGCAGTAAGTAATGCAAAATATTGAGTCCCTGCGGGGTGGCAGTGAACAGGTGTTCAAATTGTTCAAATTGTTGATTGTATTAGGAACGGAGATTGTCACCACTACACGTCTCATGTTTATCACTGTCGTCAGAACAGCGTTTGCATTCCATATTCTCGATCCCTAAATATAAATACATTTATTAAGTGGAACGCTGATCAACACAATAATAAGCTCTTTGACTATTTCTATAAATATACAAATTCATTTACTTGTATATGGTTCGATATCCAATATTCAACATATTCTTACACGCACGCGTACACACACCGATTTTTAGGAACCGTTATGAATATGATTGCTGTCCAGGCTTTGAACGAAGCGACCTGGTTGACAACAAGTGCGTTCAGATGGAAACAACCTGGAAAACCATTGTCCGCTATCTGAAGGAGCGTGGAAACGTGGAAACCGCCTCGGCGTTAGCCGACAACACAGATCTTCCGGATTTGTCTCAGGACCCGGCGAAATACGTATACACTGTATTTGTTCCCAAAGAAGATGGAGATATAAAGTCACCGGAAATCGATTATCGTAGGTGAGCAAGCAGCAAACACGACAGCACTGTTATTATGAATATTTTCAATTTATTGATCCTTCAATAACTTTGTCTATTTAAATTTTCTGTATCTTTCCTTACTGAGATTGAAAAATATTCTCACCGTTAAGCCAGCTAGTTAAAAAGTTTCATTCAACATATGAATAAATTGTTCACTTTTGAATGGAAATGTCAACTAATGAAATTTAAACTTTTCGTGCGGGATTTTAACCTCGAATAATGTAAGAGAATTAAGTTTGAATTGATAACGAATATCTATCATGAAATTCGCATTGGATCGAGACAGGCAGTGTGCTTGATTTCCACCGATGAAATGTTCAATTGAATGCTCTGTTGTGTGGATGAATTTACATTGATTTAGAAACAAAACCCGGGTCATAAAAGCTGTCCAGTACTTTTTATTTTTCATTCCACGCTTCATTTGCACCGTACACACCAAAACTTGCCACATAGTTTACCTTCAGTATATTTTTGTCGTTGGCTATGTCGTTTCTATGCGATTGGTTAAGCAGAAGAGTAATCATAATCACATAATTTTGACGGACAGCTGATGGGTTCATATAAATCAATGCGGTTACTCTACACGATTTTGTTTCGTTCATTGAAGATTATTAAAAAGCGGCTGATAGTACTGCCAAAAGATGGATACAAAAATTTGACCCAAATATTCATTTTGATCGTGCTGAAAAACATCAATTCAAATAATCAACGAACGGAAGGATACAGTTATTCCGATAGAATTTGTTAGTGCAGAGAAAAGCTACTATTTTTGCATTAGAAGCTGGAGCAATTCGGATTACTAACTAGTTCGAAGTTATCTGAACTACCTCTACAAACAGATGATCTTTATAAGTCAAAATATACAGTGGTTAGGACATGACACTTGCAGAATTTGATGCTATCAATAAAACCCTCGGACAAAGTTGAAGTTCTGATCTCAGATATTGTAAAGTAGTGAATTGAATGTTTCCATGATTCAATATCACACATGTAACATGGTTTTATCGTGTGATAACCTTTCGACATTTCCTGTTGAATTACATTACGTCCTTCAGTCTGACCGTAATCCAATTTCACTTATCTGTAGCAAGGCTTTCATTATCCATGTTGTTGCGTGCCATTCCATCGTTCGAAACATGAAACTTCCAGTTGTGATTTTTTTTGGAGTTTTAGTTTAAAGGTAAACGTCGTACTCAAGGATGACTTTACTTTTATTAAAAAGGGTTAAATTAATGACTAGTAATGCTAAAGTTTCTTAAACATCTCCCAATGAGAGTAAATTATACCCCAGGAGGAGGTATAGGTCTGGCGAGATTTTGAAACTACTTAATTTTATATCGAAACGCAATAGAAAAAAACAAAAAGATCTAAAAAAACATAAGACCAGGCATAAGATTGGTTTTGATGCTTTCCGGTCGCTTAAATTGATTTGTCTCATTGACGTCATGTGTGGAACATTTTCAAAATTAGTGGTGGAAATTCCGCTCGCAATTTGGTCACAAAAGGTCGCCACTATGCGCGCGGATTCACCAATGGACGCACAATTGCAAACGAGAACAATTCACCGCTGAAAATCACCACCTATTCGAACGGGGTAAGTCCATTTGGTGGGAACGATCAAACATTGTTACCTCACAATTAGGAAATGCTCAATATACACATGCAATCGCCAATCTCCAATAGGGAGATGAAAGCCCCTAGTTTTGTTGTTATCGCGGGTGTGATTCCCCAATGGCTTCATCTAAAATAATGAATGAGTCTTCTATTTTGTTACAGTCATTTTCTGTAGTCATTTATATTGATATCTGGTCCGAATCGTGCATTTTGAATACTTTTTGCTTCAGAAAGATTGCTTATTATTTTATTGCCTAATAATTTCATCTGCACAAACTGAAAGCAACTATTCTGTAACTATCGGTGAGAAATTGATGTTTACTTCTTCATAATTTTGATTGCTGAGCCAATGAAGGAGAATTGCTTCGATTCCGTAACAGTTTCCTGGTAGACGGGTGTATCTTAAGGAACTGCCGTTCGAGTTCAACAAAACAGACAGAGTACACGATTCTTTATCGGTGTTCTTGATTCAGCAAGTAACATTTTGGTACAAAATGGTACTAAAATCCTGCCAGTGATGCGGAACAATAGTGAATTGTGAAGGTTGAAATAGTTAGGGAAAGCGAACCAAACTAGGCGGTCAAACAAGACATAGTGATTGGTGCGACAAAATATTAAGTGTCCTTGTGATTATATTGCCTTCTCGTTTCTTTGATTCTCGTTTCTCGTCTGATATATTCACATTCAGTCCAGGTAGGTTATATGTCTTTTCACGTTGAATAAAATTGATTTCCAAGTCTTGTCCAGTGCTGTTTTGACCACACATATCACCATAGGGACTGCAATACTACAGGAGAATAAATAAGATTTCCGGTTTTACAACTTAATTGAATTTAAAGAGTCACAAACTGAACCTTATGAAACTGTTTCGTTATGAATAGTCTGAATAACTTTAAAAGAGTACTATCTAAAGAAAAGACTCATCGTCGCCATTCGTGTCAGTTTGAGGTGCAATAGCCGCCTCAAGGACCGACTGGAAAGTTTGCTTGCGTGATAGGCAAGTTGACCAAAACGTGTTTACGTGTCTCCCGCAGAAACCGACTTTGGAAAAATGACACCAAATCCTTTGCTTCTTATCTTCGCTGTCTTTTTTTTTGTTCTCGCAGCTCATCTTTGTGGAATGCGCTCTGTTTTTGAGCGTTGATCACGAAACGACAAACGGACTGGTGCACTACACTGACCGGGTAATTTGATTCCTGTCTCTTTCTATATTTTTGATTAGACTAATTGAAATGACAAGATCACTCTCATGACTTCTTGATAAAAAATAGATTTCTATCAGCTAATTTTCACCCAACTTATCTGATCAGTGTGATAACAATAGGCCTACTTGGTTTATCAGAATTAGAATCTCGAGAATGTCTCCACCAGGAGTCACTTCGTCTTCATCCCGTTTTCTTGTGATGATGACTCTTTTTTATTTTAGTTATTCTTCATGAGATTGTAATAGTGATTCACTACAAAGTTTTACATTACCTAACATCACTTGCTATACGTGGTCGAAATTTCATGAAAGTTACCTTAAGAAGTAAAAAACTACGGAACAAGAACATGTTTATAGCGGCACATTTGTTACCCATAATCAAATTAATTAACTAGAACAGAGAGAAGACAAATACTGCCAGATGTTAATATTTAATCTCTTCAGTCGCTAAAACGTAAAACAACATGGTATCTATACAAGAAAGTTGTTATAGCTGCAGTGATTCAACGGACAATAGTCAGAAGAGTGTGTGGGAGGAGGTAGTCATTTCCATGGCAGTTTGACTGATTGCGTTAAAAATTTTTGTGTGCACAAGATTGGATTACGTAACTTGATAAGCATCACCTCGCTAAACGTCAAGAGCCTGGGATTTATGTTACGTAATAACGGCTTTAACGACCTGAGTAGATCAACGATGTACCCAGTTTTCGTGATACGTTTTACGATTGATGACCCTGGATTTCTCTCATCAGATTGACCTCTAAGACTGTGTTGCGTCATTGATTGTACCCATCACTTGGGCATGTGTTCAGAAATCACGTGTAGCAGTGACTTATTCCGTCTGCGGATTCAAGTGTCATCGCGACTGCAAGTGAATTGGTAGACAACATGTGAGGCAGAATTGTACGGCTGGTTCTGCGTTCGATTGCCCAAACGAAATCCTTGAACATACGGCATCAATCGAAGCTTTGTGAAGGAGAAAGTTCGATATAATACTGCTTGAGCTTTTGACGCACATTGTTCATTATATGGTCACCCTTGAAGGCGAGTCTGAAGGAGACGGTCTCCCTCGGTACTTTGCAGACGGGATAAACCGGTGCCCTTTGTCTGCTATGCATATCAAAAAAATTCTCTGGACAACCATTATGCAGTACCATCTTTTACAGAAAAACCTGTTCTTATTTGAGAGTGTCAGGAGAGCAAATGCTCCTGGCACGATGGAACAGAGTCTTCACCAGACCTCTTTTGTTCTCCACAGGAGCGAAACCCGTAAATTGTAAGCATCGTCTACTCCATTTGGTCCTCCGGTAGACGGATCTTTGCGAGGTGCTACCTGATTGCCTCCAAAGAGATTAAACGTGATATGTTAACGTTTCGCAGTATTTTTCTTCTCTCTGTTCTAACGAATTAGATAATTGGTAACCAATATTTCAAATTGATTTAGGTTTTATTAACAGCTTCTCTCTTTGAACTGTGCGAAACCTTCCAGACTTACAATGACATTAATCATTTATAAATAAAAGATATTCGAGGCTCCAAATTTAGCAAGGACACACGTTGTAAAAACAGATTAGTAGAACGTGTTCAGATTTTCCTGCTCATTACCTGGTTAGTTATTCCAGTTTCTTACGATTATCTTTCTTCGAACAGGCAATACCACCTTCAAACCGCTACCCAACAGTTTTGTCCCGTCTGCAATCGGATCCAAATTTGTCTCAGTTTGTGCAGGCATTGCCGTCGGATGTGCGTTCGGCACTTGATCGACGCGATTCCAGCATCTGGTACACCGTGTTTGCACCGACTAACCGTGCATGGAGTGAAGCCGTTTCGCGTTTACCATCGGGAGAGGTAACCTGTTAAAAACAGAAGTACCCTTAAACGTTTCATTCCCCGGTGTGAACCTGCATTTTGATTTGACGCCTATGCATTTACATGATTAGATAAAGCTGTTTAAATAATGTGGTTATACCACATAAAATAATTAGGAATAAAGGATAGAGCACTGACTTGCATACTAGAAGTAATTTATTGTTACTTTTACCCATGAGATGTTCTTCTGCAGATCTGTTGTCGGTACGAGGATTAGACCTGATTGGAGGGCGAACGGTGTGCACTCATTCGTGCTCAGTTTCTCAGTTCATACTGCACCAGGAAAAGTTAAAAATAAATTCATGACCTCAATCATAATAATGGGTATTAATAAGTGATTGAGTGTCATGAAACTATCAGGTAAACGTTTTCATGGAAATATCGAATACTTTCAAATATGTAAATAAGGAAATAAGAAAATGCATTGTCACCAATCGTACAAGCGATCACATGCTTTCAGTGAAAATGTGTACATTCTTTTTCATACCGTTTGCTATAAATTCTCCCACCCGTTTACCATGTCTGCTGATTTTAGTAGCGATTGAACTACAAAACACCATGTCAGAATCATTTGCCTATGTAGTTGGGTGGGAACGAGTGAATCGCTACACAATCTGAGAGATCAGAGTTGGCTAGTTAGAAATTACAAAATAGAACTTAAAACAAGTCATGATTGCACCTTTGGGAGATGAGAGAAGTCAGTTACGAAACTGTTAGCCAGTACTTGAGTTTATTACTGCTTTTTCAGATAATGTGAATGGTTTTCGGCCCGCAGGTTGAAGTGTCTGAACCAGCTTCAGTTTCGCACAAGTCTAAGCATCGTTTGACGAAATCTAATTGCCTTATCGTCTGGCAGCACTCACGGTTTTACTAGTCGTTTAGTAATTTTAGTAGAAAATTAAGATAGTTGAGTTTCTTTGGTATTTTTATCTCCGTCTCAATGTGTGATTCATCTGGATGATTTTATGTATAACATTTATCCGTTGTGGTACAATTTTAAACAAATATCATATATGTTAGAGCTTTTGCAAATCACCCTAAGTAATATGCAGTTCTAGTTTGCAGATATATTAATGGCATGGTTTTGTATTCCTCCCTTTACGTACGACGGTCCTAATCTATTTCCATCCCACACGGATTTTAATTAGCCTGTCGCCAATTTGGCTCGTCACCACGTGCTGAGAAAGATGTTGTGCGCCCGAGCCATCACGCAAGAGTCTTCATCCATTGGTCCCACCATGGCTGATGATTATATCCGTGTGACTCGCACGCCAAATGGCAAACAAGCAGTGTTCGATGCTTGCAACGAACAGATCGTATTGGACAAAGCAGATTTGATGTCGGGTACCGGAGTGGTACATGTGATCGACAAGGCCATCATTCCTCTGGGCTGTGAGTGAAAACGGTTTAGGCTAACATGTTTTCGGTGAATTCCTTTTCCAACCTTTACAATCATATCTAAATTAAACAATTTAAGCAGAGTCAGATAGAAAGATAGAGGATTAATGTGTTTGGTAATGAGCCCGAGAGGACTCCAAGTTTGCACACCGTTTGGATTACGTAACTAAAAGTTGCTATGTTACGTCGTGGTCGTGTGAACAGACTATTTTATCTTCCCTTGGCCAGGGGAGTTTGAGAGCTTCGATCAGTTTTCGCTGAGTCGGATGCTTATCACCTCTGCGGTTGCTAACGTCCCAAACAGTATTGCACTCGAGGGGTGTGGTGAAACTTGATAAATGATTGCAAATGCCGAGCGCAAGTCAACCAAGTGTCCCGTCTCTACCAGATGAGCAACGATCGAGCTAGACACAGCTCAACTTCCACCCGGCGTGGATTATGTTTTTTGATCCGTTGAGACAACTGCCTTGTCGTTCGAGCTACGTAAGTCGCACCACAGGTGCATTTGAAATGATGAACAATCGTAGATGAGATCGACGTAGATAGCGTATCTTTGTTGTGGTATCGGATATCTGGTGACGCAGAAAACACGCGTCTTATGTGGATTTCACTGCGGTGGATTAAACTCTAGTGACCCTGTCTGTCAGCGGCAAAATTACCCTTGAGTGGAAATCTTATGAAAAGCATTTTCTTCTCCAATTCTGGTATTTTTGTTGGTCCATTCCATTCAGTTCAATTAAAGTCGATAAACTTCTCAGGATAGCCATTTTTCAATAAGGTTCTTCTCACTAGTTCACGTTCGTTCTTTAAAGTATCTTCTGAATAGATGCGCCTTGTTCTCTACAGGAGACAGTGTGCGGGGTCACGTTTTGATATAGTGGGACGAAGCTGTGAAAATTTATGTACTAAAAGCTCCATGTTGCTTTTCGATACACCTATCTGTGAATAGAGCCATCGGGATGTCTATTCAGATGAAAATCCAAAAACGGAGGGGAATCATTTTCCTCTATTTCAGTTACGAACTTAATTGACGAATGTTCTTTGTTGAATTCTGATTCTATAAAAGCAAGAATAGTGTTCATGTTGCCCACTCAAACACTATCATCTACATAACGGTGGTATTGTTCAAAACAACTAATTACTGTAGATAAGAAGGTTATCATAAAAATATTATTCCCAATACTGGGCAGCTAGATGAAAAGTAATTCGCCTGTCGCAAACAAAGTTCTACCTTAGATGCTCTCGCTCATTTGGTAAATTCAGTTTTGCGATCCCTAGACATGCACGGTAGGGCATTTCATGTGAGTTTCCTCGACTATAGTAATGCTTTTAACTGTGTTGACAGGAGCAGGCTTTTGTCTCTACTCCAAGGTGCTGGATTGTCCAATAATACCCTCTCTCTACTCCAAGATTATTTTGCTGGTAGAACACAATTCACAAAGTTTCTTGGAAAAACTTCTGACTCCCTACCAGTCATCTCAGGCGTTCTCCAGGGAGCTATTTTGTCCCCCTTTCTTTTCTCCTTCTATATTCGTGACCTTCCCACTAACCCAAATGATCTTCTTATTAAGTATGCTGATGATGTCACAAATGGTTCGAAATTCCAAAATGATTTCCGCTTCTCGCATCTTCAAACCAGTTTATCTGCCTTAAACTTATGGTCTTCGTCTTTCAAGTTATCTCTCAGTGTATCTCAATGTGGCGATCTCACCTTTTCGCTCGCCAAAGGAGAACGGCTACATTCTTTTGAAAGAAATTGTTCTGCACTCTATGTTGACAACCAGCCTGTTCCCTCAGTAAACTCTCTACAATACTTCGGTGTCACTATCTGCCGAGATCTCACCTGAACCTCACACTTACCTTCTACTTTTGTAAAGATTCGACGGTTGTGTTTCTTTAATACCTGCTTGCGTTCTTTAAGAGTTCCACTGTATTTACTCACTCAATTTGTATATTCTTGTGTTGTTACTCATCTCTACTGCTCCCCAGTTTTATTTGCCGGTCTTAGANATTACACACGTGTACGCCGGTTTATTGAAATTATTTCTCGCACACGCGATATTTCTTATTTGCACTTGCTTAACTTTATCGCCGATAAACATTTTACCTCTTGCGATAACTTCTGTAACAATATTCTATCAGACACCAGTCACCAATTACACACAGAACTTAAACAATGTATATCCACTTCTGTAACAAGATCTCGTTATAAACTGGTGTATGCTTGTACCACTGCCTATCGTTTGTCCGTCATCCCCTCCCTCTCTTTCGAGATTTCTGGCTTAAAAGGCATCCGTTAGAGAAAACTTCTTGAATGGTCTACGCAGTTGATATTCATTTTTAAACTTGTACTGCACATTCCTTTGAATTGACGATTCTGTTTTTCTCACTTTTTTGTGACTATATGCGACGATAAATGTTCCTGGAGTGCAAGAAGCTGAAAATCCATCCGTTAGGATGAATAAGGCAATTTTTGACTTGATTTGACTGATGTTGGCGAGAGCAGGTCCGAGGGGAGAACCCATAGCAGCAGCATCGACTTGGCGGTAGAATGTATTATTAAACTTTTGAGTATGAGTTCTTTGCGAGTTGTGACTGGAATACCCACGGATATCGTTTCTGTGTTGGTAAATTCCTAACTCGTAAAATAGTCCCATAGACAGCGTAGAAAAAGGTATTCGCCAAGAAATTTCTTTTCGATATATCGCATCAGACGTTTACATATATAAAATGATCACAGTACAGATGTTTGATTGGTCGATTGGAGCTCAGTTAATAACGATGACAGGGGTGAGCAAACAGAGCAGATGAATATGGCAAAGCTAATTCCCAAATGTAATCAACCGTTTTTAACAGGGAAGCATTCGTAAAGAGAGAAATAACATCCAAAGGAGACACTAGTCGGTTGTTATTGTTTAAAATTAAGTTATCTGAACAAGCTGAAAAGTATCGCCAGGTGTAGGCTTGGCGACACGTTAACATGTGGGTTCAAAAAGTCTAGCTATCCCATGGGCAGTTGCGAGGTGAGGTGAATTTGTCATAGAGATGATGGAGCGCACTGTTATACCTAGTTTGTTTGTTTTGGGTAGGCCATAAAGACGGGGTATATCAGAGCCAACAAGTTTGAGATCTTCAAACAGACAGGATAAAATGTTTCATATAAATGTGATTGTAAAAGCTTGAAATGGAACTCACCGAAAACATATGTTTGCCTGCATTCTTGTTCTTAAATAATGAGCACATTTCGTGATTTGAGAGTATTTGTTCATGACCTCTCGGTTCAGTGCTCGATGATTTTATTAACAGGGAAACGGCCAATCACCGTTCTCCAATGGATTCAAGTTTCAAAATCTGTCCTTTATGTGCTACTCTTTAGCAGTTGGGACTATAATCTTGTGTTTGAGTCATCACGAATTGTCACGACAATCACAAAGAACGCTCGTGAAGAATTACTTGGTATATTAAATTAGGCTCTTCATGCCATTTGGGATGATAATACAAACGTTTGAGTATTTGTATACAGCTCAGTTCTTAACAATCAGAGTGCAGACAGAGTGCCCTGATTGAGGTGTCGGCCAGCGTTAAGACTCGTGAAGCAAACAATGACGTTAGGTTAGATACCGTTCAAACCACTTGGTACGTGACATGATCAAAAAAGGTCGACAAAAATACTTGCGATAGTTGAAATAGGGGCTAGGGACTAGGGTGAAGAGATAAAGGACCTTTAACATTACACACTGAATCCGATGTTCAGATTCGGGCAACAGTAGCGCGTAAACCAGGTTCGTTTACTTGGATAGTTCTGCATAAAAATGAGGACTGCAGTTACCTGAGTGACACTATTTCTTTTACACTAAATACTTCCTGGGTACTGTAGGAATTATTTTGGTATCATCCTTTTTTCATTTTGTTCACAACAGACTAGGAAACGGACAACATAGCTGCAGGAATATTCATTAGCTTATTTTGGAGGGTCGCAGTTATTCCACTCGGGGTGCATTAGTCTCGAATTGAATTTGGTATCCTGCACATGCTTGCTGGTTTTCGATTGACATAGACAATATTTTTATTCTGTGAACAGCATGTTCCATATATATAAATAAATAATGAAATCCTGCTTTAGGCGATCATCCTACTGAACTGCTTACTAGAACCAGCTCGTGACTACTGTCTACAAAGCAAAGTCCCTTTCACGTCGCCCATTTAATAACCCAATTTTTATTGCGATATTTCTGTCTGTAGCGATGGACCTGAATGATGCGCTTCAGTGTCTACAACGCGGCCCCCAAATCGATTTGGCCAGAGCAGCCAGAGAAATGGAAGAATGCAATCTGGCAAGTAATTCCAAGGCCAAGTTGGTTCTATTGCCGACCGCGGCTGCACTTCAAGGTGAGTTGGTCATGCGATTTGCCGAGCACTTTCAACTTATGAGCAGGAACCACTTTTCTTAAATTGAAGGCACAGATGAAGAGCACGAAAAATCTTGGTGATGAACAGCCTTCCTCCAGATATTGTGACGTGTTCAGTATACAGGATAACAATAATGGGACCCACATAATAAGCTATATACAAATGATAAGTTGAACAAACGATCAGACCACTGATGTAAGATGACTAAATTTTGTAACAAAAATATGTGCACAGTGATTTGTAGATAGTATTACCAGTGCGATTTTTCTTTGCCTAATGTTTCATCAACTGTTATAAAATGTTATGGTTTGATTTATCCCATCTGAGTTTGTCACGCCGTGCGTATAGTCACATTGTGTTTCGGTTGTAAATTTTGCCACCTGAAGAGTTCAAAACTTTCCCACATTTGAAATATATTAGATTATTGATAGAAAAACGTATACAGTAAGAACAAATGCTTTTACAGTAGTTAATTTTATAACCTTTCCAACTAGAAGAAAAGGCGATGGAGAATGTTCTCTCCAAATATCATAATTTTGTGCGGGCTGACATTGTTATAAATATAAAAAATAACATTATAAATTTCGCATGCCTGATGACTTGTTCCAGGGGAGGTTTTAAGGGTTCGTGAAGGAAATTGTTTGACTTTGTTCAGTTAAATCAGGGAATTGATATTTTTATTGAATTATCACTCTTCTTTGAGTGAAATCGATAGTATTTGTCTGATTATGAAAAAGTTGGAGTACCTGCTTGACACTACAATAGAAATTGTGATTGTTTGTTGAATGTCAGGTGCTTAAACTGTCCCGGTTGGGAAATGATTCATATATATCCAACCATGGATTCTTTCTATTCTGCGCTGTAACATCCAGAGCGTCCGTCACAACTCATCAGGTCTTAAAGTTCGCATGATTCTGTTTTCTTTTTCTGAACCACTATTACTATGATGTAATTGATAAAATTAACAAAACGAATAACAATACCGGGTTTATTTCGTGACACTGTGCATTACTTTATGTTCCTCGTGCTGCTCTGTGACCTGCATCATCATGTCTTATATTCATGTTTTCTTTCCCAATTAGGAAAAGGGAGCGAGAATTCAGATCTGCTGCGGCGAATGCAGTCAGATCGCAGTTATCGATGCAAAGTGTACGCTTACCACCTGCTCACTCCGGACAATCCACAAAGTATGCAGAACCCTAAACACTATGGGTTTGTTCAGGAGGAGAAATTCCGTACAGATTATACAGCACCCGATGGATCACCGGCTTATGTGACCGGTAGTTATGTACGAGAACGTGATGGTAGCAAGGTAAGATTCTTCACGAGATTCGCCTGAAAACAGTTGTTGAATGAAAAGCGTTGTAATACTGCAACGCAAAATAGCAGACAGCAGTAATTTCAAAACAAATGAAAACATAAAATTACGACCTAAAAGGAATTCTTTTTCATGACTTTCTAGTATTCTAATTAAGGTTTTTTATCTTATTGTTTTCAGATATTTCGTCCCCTTGATGTTAGCATTACAATGTACTCTGATTTGTTCAAGATCAGTCTTTTGTGATACAATGAACAGAATCCACATTTTGATATAAAAACACTGTCAGCATCGATCTGGCATCATGGAACAGTCAGTGTCAGTGTTAAATCATATTGACAACCAAGTCAGTGGTAGCTTTATGCACCCGGATGGGCGAATTACCAGCCTTTCTCGTCATATTTGCTTACACGAATTCACAAAACTAGACACAATGAAATTTAAAATTACCAGCCATGAGAGACATATGGTATATAGATAGATATAGATAGATGGCATATAGATATATGGCATAAAGAAAATATAATTCGAATTGTATTTCTAAATCAAACATTAACACAATGTGGAAAATATCTTTGGTCAGGAAACTTTTAAGAAAGTCTGCTAAAACCGGCTCTTTATTCACCAGAATGCGTGATAAACGGGGTATTGCAAAGTTAAGATATGTTTGCGTGAGAGAACACAACGCATTGGGGATCTAGTGGACAGGTGAGAATGTCAGAAATTCAAATACATGTGCAGTGAATTGTGTAGGATCCATAAAAACAGTGTGTGAGATTTTCCCGTGCATTCAAACGGCGTTCACACAGATCGGTTATCAGATGCTCCAGCGGGATTGAAGAGAGGCTTGGCCAGCCATGGTCAATGCAGATAGAAGTATTTGAGAGTCACTCTATAAATGATTAGAAAAGACAACAAATGAACAATGAAGCAAAACGGGGAAAACACACTGGTATACAAAATTTGGAGATACTGGGTGACAGAAGTACGTACGATGGGAACAGGCACGAGCGAATATAATTGTGTGGTTGATGCAAAATGAATAGTTTCGTTCCGGCGACATTCATCACTGCCTGGGTTATCAGATTGAATTGAATAAAGTTTAGACCATCATGGGAAACATAAAATCTACGTGTGTTTGGAGAATTAACATTTTATTTAATCTGAAACGCCGCCTTTCCCACTTTGCACTAACACATTCATCCAAAACCGAGTTATTCTCTACTAGATTAAGATTAGGAATCGTATGAATTTAATAAATACAACGTCCGAAGTAAAATTCTATTTATTTGATTTAATTTGATACAGGGATAAGTAATGACATTCGGCCCATCTCTCATCGTTATCATATATTGTTATCACCTCATACAAATGCAATGTGCTAAAAATTCACGTTTACGAATTTCAGTTGAGTTTCAACGGAGCCACAACAACCAGCCTCAAACCGCTCAAATTTCGAAACGGCTTGATCTATCCAGTAGAGAGTGTCAATCAGCCACCGGAAAAGTCTATGATGCAGCTCATTCGAGATGAACCAAACACAATGTGAGTTTACTCTCCGAGTTTGTCTAACTCACTGATTGCAGAGAAATTGCGCGAAAAATGCAAGAAACTGGCATCCAACAAGAGTTCAATCGTCTTGGAAACAAAGTGTTGTTTTTGGCTCCCATTGATATGGGTTGGAAGACACGTGATCTGGAAAACGCTTACTCTACTCCGCAAACACGTAAAGTCAGTTAACGCAAACACTTCAATCTCCAGTAATTGAAGGTCGTATATTGTCTATAAAATAAAATTAGCGTAATGTTCTCTTCCCTTTGAAATAATAATATAAGAGAATTAAAGTACTTTATGAATTTGGTTTAATTGTTTATTTTAAATAGGATCCACCACAATTAAGTATTGATTAGGGGAAGAAGACAGTTGGAATTCTATCGTTTTTAAAATAATCGTTCTAAAAGTTTAAATTTGTAATATTCTGTAAGGGAGCTAAACCTCCTGAAGGTTAAACATTAACTCCTCTCGTCCTTCATTTTTAATAGAATTTGATCGTTGCTACTGACTAGTGTTAGATCCATCATCAGCCATCTTGTTGTTGAATGTTGTTCGTTACTTATTCACAAACAACCATACAACGGTTGAGCAAAACGTTTCCAAATGCACGAAAAGTTTTATTTGTTATTCAAAATAAGCATTATATTTACTCGAAGTATTATTCATCAGCGTTCATGCACAGTTTAATGCGCTCAAACAATTTGGTGAAACAGCTGAACCATGCTGTCGGACAACTGCATTCATACATGGTATCCGTAATCTGTTTCACTCGTTCAGCTTCAGTCGTATGGTGCTGTGCGACGAGAGTTATTGGAACACCACTAGTCCCTGTTTGCCTTCTACTGTACAAGCACTCGGATGGCTTTTTTACTGAACGCTTACAGACCTACAGAGATGTCAAAGACATCATAGGTTCAACGGACTGAGACCACACTAAAGTAGCCACCATATTAAGTATTTTATGTTATCCGAAGCATTTCCCTGTATGCCTGGATCTGCAGTCAGCGGGATGCTTTCCACTCCGTTCGCATCCACGCAAGTCAATGCTTTAGTGAATTTTCTTCAGAAATCATAAGAGATCTAAATTGTATTGGTCTATACCACTTGGTGAATAGCATAATAATATGGATAATATATTCGCTGATGAACAACGATTCATAACTCCAGTTAAACATGACAAACAGATGAAAGACGATAGCCAAAGCACACTACGGGATGAAGTATAGTGGAATACAGTTTTGTTTAAGATGAATGGCTATGATCACCAAATGATTTCGGTAACTATTAAACAGCTCCAAAAAACCATCAATAAACGCCTCTTGTTCTTTTTTACGTGTCCCCAAACTGCACATATGATTGTGGCTCATCAGTTTACTAAAAACGGATTTGCTAATTTTATTTTGGAAAAGAGAGTAAAAAGATTATTACAATTATAATCATAGCACTTATTAAAGTTATAATGGATAGGGTTTGGTATCAGTGATGACCAAATGTTTTCATTTTATTCACTGCTAACCAATCAAGCATCACAGTTTATTCCAAAAAAACTTCTACGCTCTTTCGAAATTTAGCTGCTACAACTTCACACGATTCCGCACCCAATGTTCGGTGGTGAAAACGGATTTGTCTGGCATTCCACAATACTCAAGGTGGACAGTTTGCTACCCGATCGCAGTGGTGGCCGTGTTCAATTAACTATCAAGCGTCATCCGGATGGGAACACATTCATTGGTCACTCGGAACTACCGGAAAAACTCTGGGTAACTATTGAATTTTCTTACCTCTTTGTTTGCGATTCCCAATCCCAGTCAACTTAAGTAATAGTCAAGATTGAAATCAAACAATGTTGTTGAAAAACAGCAGTTTGACATTCAATCAGAATTGTAGACCGTACTGTAACTCTCCTTCATGATCGGCAACTAACTAGATGGCCCACTGAAGAATGCTATTCACGACCGAGGCGCAGCCCAGTGAAAATTGATCCTAACATTCACACGGTACTGTAAACAAATCCAGTCAAACAAATAGTCCACAGACTACCGGTCAGTGAATGGATGGCGAGCAACTACTGTGAACGCTCCGTCATCCACCTGCCCGAAGTGGCTTTATAACCAGTCATTAACAGGTGTGCCAAATTTGTTCCACCTGTTTACGCTTAAACATCAGTATCAGCAGTTTGCAGGCACGATGAGTTTTGTTCACTCAATACCGGCACGCATAGTTCGAACTTTTTAACTCCTAATGGTCCAGGAAGCTTNGGAAGCTTCATGCTGACGTTTCACATTCCGGTGTTTGTTTCCGTTCCATGAAAACGTCCGGAGTTGATCGTTCGAAAATATTATCTGATGCATTTCCTGAATAGGTATGAACAGTTTTGACCGTTTACATTCTACCAGAATACATCGATTACAATCGGGTATAAAGAAGCGGAATGCCACCAGGTTTCTAACTTTGCTGAAAAGATTGTCACGATTTGTCCCGGTTTTTATACTTTTATTTATTTCTCAATAATATATATATATATATATATATATAATGTGTAGTTTTCACACTGTTGGAAAATCTGAAATTCAAGTTCATAATAATTAACGTACAGGTTTAAAATCTATCCGAGTTTTATACTTTTAATTTTTATAAATAAAAAATAATTTTGTTTGTATTTCGCTTTGGGGTTCCGAGTTTGATCCTCAGCTGAGTTGGTGGATTCGCACAACTGCTGAGAACGAACAAGGCCGAATAAACTGTGCACCCCTCGGGGCATTTTAGTGCACGGAATCTTTGTCCTACATTCGACAGAATTTATCCCACCAAAGAAAAAAATAGTAAAATGTTTTACTTCAGTTTGTTTGGCATAAAACATAGATGCAATCAAGATTTGCGAAGGAGGCAGCGAGAGATTGAAGGTTATCAAACTAACAAACGAAAAAGACAGTAACGGTGGGAGGGGGGGGGGGGGGGGTTAGAACTCACTTTCGGAATTCCACTGACATCACATTCAACCGCTCTACATAGCTTGCATGTTTATCAGAGAAATTGAAATAAACAAGTAAGTAAGTAAAGGTAACGCATATCACGAATTACGCATCGATGTTGGTGACTCAACTTGGGTTGGCAGTAAAGAACAAAAAAAACAAACAAAATATTCCGACGTTTAATTGATGCATTCAGCACCAAAACTTGAAAAAGGTTTGATTGTACTCAAACTAATTCATCTCTGTTCTTTTGTTTTACACTGGAATAGGATGAACAATCGTTAACTCTCGAGTTCCAGTTCTATAAACTGGTGTTTTACTGACAGATTCTGATTGTTTTGAGGTTTGCTGAAGCTAGCTAGTGATCAGTGTGTTTAATGTGAGTAAGGGGAAGTCGTTAGCTGACCCTTACAATAGTCAAAAGTGAACAAGACATACTGGAGTGAAGTAGTCTATCCAGTTTTGTAACTATAGAAGATACGAACCTGTCGTTGACCTGTTCGATTGCCGAGCTCAAGTGTTTCTTGAAGGCATGACTACTCCGTTTCAAATGAGATTTACCCCTACTCATGTTATTCTGAAAAAGAACTACTCTCAGCTCGGTACAAACCTTAAAACCTTTGTAGCGCTGATGAAAATGATGTTTCGCAAAGCTGTCAACTCTTTCAGTGATACGCGCAGCTGTGAGGTGATTAGCGTTAACATCATAGACGTGAGTTCGCAAGGGCATGCGTATTCAGCGGTGACTTCTTTGTTGGTGGAGCGGTTGACACCCGGTCATTGTGACTATGTACGTTTTCATTTTTGATCGAATATCCCAAAAAGATGAAACTTGTTCGTCAATTTTACATACCAAATGGAGTTGAGTAAACTACAATGATTTTTAGTTTTTCCCGTTCTCACCAACTACCGCATTTATTTGTCCTGTGTATCTATATGCGATAAACATTAATATTATTTTAAAATAATTTTCTTCTCAGGCCATGGTTCTCAAATGGAATAAGGTTGGCACCGATGGAATTGTCTGGATTATCGATTGGCCTATCAAGTGCCCGGAAGATATATGCTAAATCAGCGTAACATAGCTCTTCACTTGTACTTTAATATAGAATGTCAGCCCGTTGTCCCTGCTGATTGTGCGCTTTCCTATGTCTATGCTCTTTTTTGCATGCGTCTTAACAATCCCCAAAGGGGTTTGTTTCAAAACGGTTGAATATAATTCAGACACTGATCAGTTGTAGCCGTTTCCCCATTGACAGATTCTCTGGCACATTCTGATCATAAGTCAGTTTAAAATGTTTCATCCGCACCAATGCTAGTAATATGAAAGAGGCCTACGTTCGTTGTTACTTTGAATAAAAATCCCCAATCAATGCGATTCATTCAATTGCCTTTGTTATCTTCTCATGGCGAAATGGTATGAAATAATATATGCCCTAAGGACGTATTGAAATCTCATTTATACAATTTCAATAGAGAAACCCGGTAGAATTCCTTTAATAAAGGAAAATTATTGTGGTTTCAGTTATCGCTCAGTGTGAGGAAAAAAATGTTGTGACGGATCAAATCCAGCATGATTACGTGATAAGAAAGATTGGTAAAACATATTTAAGACGAAGCTACTAGATATTTTCTTCCCTGACTTTACTAAATATAAAATATCTTTCCTCAATATAAACTAAAACCAAATGTCAATAAAAAGAGCTTGCATGAGGAGGGAAAATATCTACCGTGATGCCGTAAGTAAAAGCAATAAATTTAGAGAATGATAATAGTCAAGATAGGTATGTTGACTGCAGAAAAAAGATTTGTCGCAATCAACCTACGGTGATTTGTATATTTTAAGTATTTTAAGGGTAATGATTATTAAACGGAATGACATTTGGACTCCGTTGGGTCAGTAGAGTGATACTGAAGAGATTGACTTTGATATATTCTACACCAGTCACTATCAGCGCGAGTACTGGATTTGCGCAACAATCGATTCGAAGCATACGGATATACATGGAAACTTTCCTAATGACAAAGTAGAACGTAGATGTTGATTTTGTACTCACAATCCACTGTTTACCACCGAGTAGCGTTGAAACGTTAGTGGTACATTAGGCTCTCTCTTTGAGGTTTTGCGAAGGTGTCTATGTTCGGGACTGTTGTTCGTTTGTGATGACCATTAAGGAGTGCCGGTCAGAACTAATTTGTCCTTATTCAGACTTATCAGCAATGCAAATTATTGTTGTCACCCTGTCATGAGAAATATTGCACTGTCTCTAACATAGATGCATCGGAATATGCGGCTGCGTTGCAAACCATAAACTGCGTCGGAATTGACAAAGGGAACACTGAGTTATTCATGGGAGAACATCTGATCTTCTCAGTGCAGATTAAATGGGCTGCATAAAACTTACGCTTGATTGAGGAAACTAGAAGTTTTCCAATAAGTGAAATTTGTAAAATGAAAACATCCTTGCGCGGATATCATTGTTCGTAAAGAAATTGGGGTAATAGAATGAGAATATTTCTCAATGAAACGCATTAATGAGAATATCGCAGTGGTTTTCTTAATCAATCCTGGGGTAACACATTGCCGGAGACTAGTTTTTGTTGTTCTGTCAAAAATTGCGCGTTCGCAAAAGTTCTCGAAAAGAGGCATGAAACTTTTAAACACGGTAGTTTCGTGCAGACCAGTTGCTTTTTTTGCTACTAATTCTATTCTTCTCATTCAGAAGTATAGGAACACTGTTTGTCCGTCCGGTTCTGTTTCAACGGAGAACTTTGGCTTTTCAAAACACCATGAATCTGTCTGTTTTGCGGCAAAACGTGAAAATGTGAAACAGAAATCCCATGAGTTTTGTGTCCTGTCGATTAATCCTTGTAGTTACCTGTGTCACTACCAATCTTGCATCGGTTTACATCCGTGCTTTACAGTAACCTCGCTGAGTGTATGAGACAGGTACAGGTATTGATAAACAATGTCGTTGAACAGATTTGCACAGTCTCAGATCGCTGGACTCTGTTCGTGATAGTTAAGCCTTTTTGATCGATGATCACGGAACCGATCATTGAATACCGGGGAACTGTGCTATCTGTCTGGATTAGACTTAGTTTACATTTCAAGTCGATCGAGTGCGCGCAGTTTTAGGGTTCCGTGGGTTCCAAGTGACATGGATGTATTCTAGGAAACTGATATCCGGTTGTTCTACCAGGGTTTTATGCTAAAGTAAAAAAAAAAACAAAATTTGCACAAACGGTAACTGCGATGTTAAACTTTCATCATTCGCTTGTAAAAAGTTCAGTGAAAGCTTCCACCAACCCGGTATAGATTTGGTTTTGATTTAATTTAATTTAATTTTGAATTTCTCATTCAAAAGAACAACTGGGCTGTAAAATTGAATTCTTTTCTCTACTGCGAATAGTGTACAGAAGCACACCTCTATTTCCTTTTATTTAGCTTCAAATGAAATTCCTATGAATCTGTTGAAGTGTTCTGTTTGCTGTGCATGAGCTAAGTGTGGTATTTTAGAGTACGAGTGTATATTGCGCAGCATGTTGTTTTAAACCTTATTGGTTTGTTTTTCTTTTATTTTTGTGCCTATCGTGTTGAATTAACGCCGGATTTCGTTCAAATTTATTTCCACTTTAACGACTAAATGTAAATATCAGTGTCTTAACTGATAAAACTCTACTGTAGGTTCAGCTGAATTGTAGGATCGTCTGTTTTACTATGGATCTTACAACGTGGCGTAACAACAAAACTCGGACATTATGCTGCACTTTTTTACGGAAATGGTTTTCCTAGTTCCATCAATCGTATACATGTGTAACTCCCCTTGCCATATCATGGCTAA